CAATGAACTGAAGTGGCTCCAGAAGAAAGTGAAAGAAGAAAGTGCAAAAGCAGGGCTGCAGCTGGATATTTAGGAAACCAAAATCACAGCTGAAGAACTACAAAATGTAAATGTCAGCAACAGAGAAACTGAATTTCTCTGTTTCCAGAAATTTGCATACCTGGGCTTAATTGTCAATTCAAAGGGAGACAAGAAATTGAAATACTAAGAGTTGGAAGGGCAGCAATGAAGGAACTAGGGAAGATCATCAAGTGTAAGGATATCTTACTCTTGAAATCATTGATAATTAAATTACCAATCATTATGAAAGCTGGACCATGAAGCTAGACTTTTTCAAAATCTGTTTGAAATACGGTGTAGGAGGAAAGTGCTGTAGTTGCCCTAGACTCCATTAGGAGTAGGGGACAGCATATAAATGCAAAAATAAATAAAAGGTAGAATTCCTTTTCCAAGAGGCTAATAAATGGGTCCTAGAGCAAATCAATCCAGAACTTGCCTTGAAAGCAAAAATGATGACTCTGAAGCTGTCATACTTCAGGTAGATAATGAGAAGGCAAGAGTCACTGGAGAAGTCAATAATGCTGGGGAAAGGTGAAGGCAGGAGAAGATGAGGAAGATCAAATAAGTGTTGTATTGATTCCATAAAGGAAACCACAGACTTGCATTTACAAGAACTGAGCAGTGCTGTCAAGGACAGGACAGTTTGGAAGGCTATCACTCATTGTGTTATCCCATGAGACAACTTGGAGACAATGTGATGGCATGTAACAAGAAAGTCTGGCTGAGTGAACCCTTGAAAACCCTCTGGAATGTCAAGGCTGATGTGAGAGAGACTGAGCTAGTCTTCACAGTGAAGCCAAATAAGAGGATTGTTAGGCCCCTGTCCAGCTGAAGTTTTCAATCTTTGTAGCATGAGAAGTGCAGCCTCTCTGAGAATCCTACAGAAGGAGGAACTAACTTACAATTGCGTCTCTCAAGTGGAAGCCTTACCCTTGAAGGGTAGAAAGATAACATGTCGGCTGGAAATGAGGGTGAAACGCCTCAGTTTGTGATTTGGCTGGAGAGCTGTTTTAGTCACTCCCTGTTTGAAAAGCAGCTGCTTCATCTGGTAAGTATTGCCAGGATTATCAGATCTTCTGAGTCTGCATTGTTATGTTTGGAGCCATCACTGCTTGTGCCAAAGGAAGCTCTTTAAGTAAAATCTACCTTTTTGGATCTTTGACTTCTTTGAAATTTGTGAAAAACCTGCTAGGCTTTTCATGGGCTGTGCTTACTCTGGGACTTAGATTTATTTGCTGTTCATGATATGGACTCTGAAGCTCACTGTGAAAGTGTTCTGCAATGTCTTGTGCATGGATCCCTTTGATATAGGGATCCTGGAACTGGAGATTTGGAGCACTGGGATCACTGATTATGGGAATTTTCATGGACTTACTATGAAGTTTTTTTTATTATTATTGTTTAAACCTGAACTTGTAACCTGCAGAGCTTTCAATGCCATGTGTAAAGCTAGTTCTGACCTAGATGTGGGTGTGTAAAATATTTAACATCATTCCCTTGAACCATGGTCTCTGATTGCATGAAACTGATAGCTTCAGGAATCATTTCGCCCCTATCCTTTATCCTGAGCTGCAGAGATTACAGCTGGGAAATCAGTGTGTTATAGATCTCTGATAAAGCCATAATTGTTAGATGTACAATCTCATGAGAGTGTTGTTGTGCCTGTGGCAATGAGTCATCAGCCATGTTTTCTGAAGTGTGTAACATTTAAGCTGCTGCCGTGAGATTCTTTGCAATAAAGAGTCTCACTGATTCAGAGTCTCCAGTGTCTGATTGCCAAAGCGATGTTCTACAGGTCTGAGAACTTGACAAAAGTAAATGAGAGAGATTTTGTTACTTATCTCTAAATCTTCCAAGATGTATAGAAGGATCCTCTGCAGCAGAATAAGCCTGAAACAGTGTTTCCTGGCAATAAGAAAAGTGTGCTCAGAGAGGATTGTGGGATGCAGAGATGCAAGAATGGTTACCAGCCCAGGGACTGCAGAAAACAGTATCTCAAAAAGTACCATCAGTTCAGGCATCCAAATGTTGTTAATAGTGCTCTGAAACAAAACCGAAGTATCTGCTGAAAGGGGTTTTATGGGAGGGAAAATAAATGGGTGGAGTTGCCAAAACTTGTGTGTATTAGCTAAATAATTAAGGTTACATGAATAAATTACATTCCCAAATATCATGTGGTGGAGTGAACTTCAGGTTGGGAACACTAGTTATGAAATAGTCTGAAATCTGTCAGGCCATTTTTGGCTAACATCATTTTTTTTTCAAGCAACAACTTTACTGTACTTGCAAATGGCAATGCAGGATAGATGTGCTATTTTGAAAATCGCAAATGCACTTAAGGCTTTTTGGTATTGACAGTTGAGGAGTGGCAGCGTGTTACCCTTACTAAGTTAGGATGCAGGGATGAGCGACTTAATGTAGCAGGGCGTCTTATGAAAGATTCTGCGTACCTTTGCTCAGTTATAAATATGAAGTCTAGACGGGAAATTCAAAATAGTGAAACTTGGGAGGCCAGCAATGAAGGAACCAAAAAAGATAATCAAGTGCCAGGACATTTCACTGGAGACCAAGGCCAAGATCATCCACACTATTGTAGTCCCAATTGCTGTGAAAGCTGGCCAGTGAAGAAAGCTGACAAGAAAAAAATTGATGCTTTCAAAACATGGTGCTGGAGGAGAGCTTTGCAAGTAAGCTGGCCTAACAGAAAGAACAACAGTTGGGTCCTAAATGAAATGAATCCAGAGCTTTCTCTAGAAGAAAAAATGACCAACCTGAGGTTGTCATACTTTGGACACATCATGAAAAGACAAACCTCCTTGGACAAAGACAATCATGCTAGTGAAAGGGGAAGGCAGAAAAAAAGAAAGATTAATATAAGATGAAATGTCTCCATAAAGGAAGCCACAGTCCTGAATTTACAAGAGCTGAGCAGAGCTGCCGCACAACTTTTTGGAGGTCTTTCATTGATTGGACAGCAGCAGCAGCAGCAGGACATCAGTAATGTGTGAGGGGACATGGCTGAACTACGCTAGAGCATGTTCTCATGTGTTCATTTAAGATATTTCTGGAATTCATCACAGTGTCTCCTAGCAGGTTTTATCCTGTACAAATACATACTGTTTTAATGAGCTAACTTAGATGTCACCACAAAGGCAAGCAATTGGACTAGAAGGTCTGACTTTCTCTGCCGTGAGGCTCTTAAAATAGCTGTTATTGAAAGGTACTTGACAAATGGCAAGACTTGACAGCACAGAGCACTTTCTTTTGCGGTGTGCTGTAATCGTTCTATCCCTCTCTCATACACTCAAGGGTCTGGCTGAAAATGGATGCTACAGAAAGCCCCAGAGAACACTTTTTGCGGGGAGAGGAATGCTTCTGGGTTAATAATTGATGGATCTTGGCTCCTGGGTAAGTCATTAGACTTAGGACAGGATGGGGTACTTCTAGGCTGCAGGGCAGATCTAGCCCCCAGGTGTTTCCTCCAAGGCCCTGCCCAGACTTCTGGGTCTCGCCCCTTTCTAATGTCAGACTGGATATGAGAGCACTGGGGGAAGTTTGCCTTTCTTTAGTGCTGAGCAGTCCCTTCTCCATTTACATAAAGCCACACAGTATTTGTAAAGTGCATCCCTTTGCTCAGAAAGACTCTTTCCTATGTATAAAGACAGGCACTGAATGATTGCTCCATACCTTTCTGTACATGGAGGAGATTCCTGTTAGGTCATGGGGTGTGGCTTTGGGTAGTGGGTGCAATTGAGAGGGAATGACATTAGGAGGGAGGGGCCTATGACCGTATGCCATCTGGGTCTCAGGTGACCCACAGCAGATCCCCATCTCTGCCTTTAGGAAGAGCTCCCAGCATCAAAGGGTGGGACTCCCTCCACTCCCCTTAAGATAATGTGCTATACTTCTTAGGAACTGCACAGCGGGTGGGGGAATGTTCTTTGGACTGGCTAGCTACCTAGTGAACTAACCACTTGTAAACCACTTTAAAGTTTACAACTAAACACTTGTAAATTTGGCCATACTGATCTGCATGGTGTTAACTTTCTATATGCTGTGAAGCTCGCAGGTAGCTTCAATTATTGGACAGTGCAGAAATGTCCAATTTAGTAATAAATTAAGTAAAAATGAAATAGTTGTTTATTTGTGGGGAAAAATTGCAACATCATTTACCATTCAGAGAGTGTTGTGTAGATTGAGAGATTACAATTAGATCCATGCATACAAATTTATTGTCTTTGAAGGGGATACATTGTATGTGCATATATCCTGCATCACTGTTGGGAAATGGGTTATAAAAGCAACAAAAATTATATTGAAGCCTTAAGCCTTATATTGAAGGAGAGGAGCATATAAGAAACTTTTCATGTGAGGTCCCATTTAGTTTAGGACTAGCTTGGTTTTAGCTGGTGAAAATTTATGGCCAGGTGAGCTGCTTGACTGCATAGACACAATGCAGTGGAAGAATCCCATGCTTCTGTGTTCCAGTGAAACTTGCTTTTTCCTAGTCATGTATTCTAATCAGTAGATGTAGCTATAAGAGCTCCAGCTTCACAGTGCTTGTACATGAGATTGGAAGGTTCTGTCCAGTTTCTGTGTAAGTTTTTCCTGCTTTGAGAGTTAATATTTTACTGTCAGTCAATTTGAAATTCAAATTGGAAAAATTGAGAATAGTAATAAATAATCCTTTTTAACTGGTGGTGGAGGCAGTGGGTGCAAATTTATTTGTCACTTCTGTAATTTTGATGTCTTGCCTTTTTCGGATAAGTGCTGCTATAAAATAATAGGATCAAGTTCTTTGAGGTGAATATCTGCTTTGTTTTCTGACTGCTAAAGAGATTGTTTAGAACTATTGTTGTGGACCATAGTACAATCTTAGGAGGAAGTTAGAGAAACCACTGAGTTTATTTTCTCTTCTCTTCTTTCTGATTCATCTTTAGGCTCCTTCATGATGGTGAACAGCTCTGGGAGGGCATCTGGACAAAAAGCTCATCTGCTGTTACCAACACTGAAGGAAAATGATACTCATTGCATAGACTTTCATTACTACCTGTCCAGTCGAGACCGCTCCAGTCCTGGATCATTGAATGTTTATGTGAAGGTCAATGGTGGACCTCAAGGCAACCCTATCTGGAATGTCTCCGGAATTGTTACAGAAGGTTGGGTAAAAGCAGAACTTGCAATTAGTACATTCTGGCCACACTTCTATCAGGTAGGTTTGTAATCCCCCTCTCTGATAACAATTCTGTTAGAGTTGCTCTTTTGTCATTGCTTGGGTCAAGCAATTGTGTAATTCTGGGAAAAAGCTAATACCCTTTCCCACAGGTATTACCAAGAATTTCTCTATAGATATGAATGCTTTTCGTTCTCATGTGGAACGTAGTATGAACTCCCTGATAGGTAAACAGTACGTAATTAGTGCTTTTTACTGAAAACTCTCCATTTGCTAGACCAAAATACATATTAGCAAATTGATACATAGGATGACGAAAACAAGAATTCAGATTATATTTCTGTGCCATTCATCATTCATTATAGATTGGTACCAAAATTTCTTGATACTTGTACTTTTCCACAAATTGAATTTGGACAAAGTTAAGGAAATATGATTGGCTGCTCTTAAGGTGCCATAGAGGGCTGTGGACCATAGGAACAAGAGCAATCATGATAAGGGTTAAGCTCTCCATGATAAGGGTTTTCCAGGTTTCATTTCCTTTACTGTTACCGAAATTAATACAATGTTTTCACTTGGGGATGAAGAGAAGTTTGATATGAAAAACAGAGGGTGAACTGAACTTGATGTTAATTTTGTGAATGCTGTTAATCTACAGCTTTGCTAAGTAAATACCAGCTTCAGGGAAGTTTTAGTGCCATTACCTTGCAGCTATAGGGTGTGGGTGGGAAGAAGAAGTTTAATGCTCATTCTTTGCCATGGCTCTGAAATAAATTCTCTTTCTGCATTTCAAGGTAGTTAATGTTGGAAAAAAGCATGTATGTTAGTTACATTGATTGAAATATTATAGCATCTAGTTTGGCTTACACTAGACCACTCTTTCACTTACAACTGACTTTTGGACTTGGAAATGTGTCCTCTTGGAAAATTAACATTAACATTAACCTGCCATCAGAGGTATTCTTGCTGAGGAGGAGCAGGATAGAAATCCAATAAATATTCCTATACTTGGAGACATGAACCTTTATTTGGATATCCATAGATATTTGTGCTAATCCTAAAGAAATGTTGACATAGTCACAGGCAAACTTCATATATCCGTATCATTTCTAATGTAAAATTGCTGTGGCATAATTTTATCTTTGCAATTATTCATGAATGTTACTGTTAAGCATGCCAGTGGAAATTACTGATTAGGTCTTTTTTTCTGGTATAGCAAATAAAAGCAGGTTAATCATACACACAAAACTGATTAAGTAAATTTGTTTTAACCAGTCCAAAAATAACAAAGGCATGAAGTAATGAGTTTCTGTAATTTTGGATAACTAAAGATTTTCTATCACTTGGGGTAGACCAGGTTGAGAGGCTTTTCCCTCACTGTTAGCATATTTTTTCACTATGGTTTATTTTAGATCCCTGTTTTCATCCTCTCTTTGGGCAATATTTGCTTCTTAGGCTGCATACAGTCCTCCACCTGATTTAAAAAGCCCTATAACCTCTGCAAAGTGCAATGCACTTCTTTCATGGTAGAAATGAAGAGAGAGAGAAATAGAGTTGTAGATGGAAAAAAGAAGGCTGGGCCATTCACTTCTGGCTGTGCTTGCACTGGTGTGCCTGCTGAAAAATGAAGGAATGAAAAAAAAGGGGGGGGGGGTCCCAGCTCTGCTTTATAGTTTTCAGCTTTTCAGTGAGTTTCAGAATTATCCAAATTGGATGTCAAATTCCTGACTAAGCTATGTAGCTCAGGACATCCAAAAACCCCAACAGATGATTAATTCATTTTACATAAATCACTTGCAACAATTTGATGCTTACAGTAATATACTGAAATGCCAAAACTGAAACATACACAAATGAGTTACATCAAATATATATTTTTAATTAGGCTTATGCATATGATTAAGCACAAGAGATAGATTCATTTCCTTCTGATTATTAATCCTTCATGTGTAACAGAATAGTTACAAATGAAGTAAATGAGAAAGGTGACACAGTTTCTTTGTAAAACATAATGGACCACTGTTTTTTATAAATATAATGCTATATGCAACATATTAACTAAAATATTGCAATTTTAAAGCTTTTGCAAGGTTAATTGGCAAATATTATTCCTTATTTGCTATGAGATTAATGCCTCTGAAGGCTGGGAAAAAATATGGGGCATCAAGTGGCTTGCTACCTTGACTAAATTTATGTTTCAAGAACAGCAAACCACCTTCTGTAATCTCTCCTAGATTATCTTTTCAGTGAACAACTAGGCATTATGGAAGACATGCTGAAAACAAATTGCTTTTATCTCGTTTTCCCATTCTCCTCTTTAAAATCTAGGGAAACTAACAGTGTAGTAGTGTAATTTCATATTGTGAGATTCCCCACCCTCCAGTGATGGTAATGTGGAGCGGAGATAAGGAAAATCACTGTTTGACATGATCCCAACCCTGTGAGTTTCTCTAGATGTTATGGAACAGGGATTGGATGATATTGGATTGGATCAAGATATTTTTGGCGGCAACTCCATGTTTTTTAAATTGCATGTTCCATCCTCACTCATGTATGTTGGAAGACTTGCTTACCCAGGGCCTGACTTCCAAAATCCTAAATATACTTTGCTGGTAGCTTTTCCAAACACATTCTTTTGTTTCATCATCATGAAGCATTTCTATACAATATACACTATTTTTTGAATCCCATCTGCATTCTCATGTCAGAAATATCAGAATCCCATCTGCATTCTCATGTCAGATTTAAGAATCATGCCAACACATTCCAATTATGGTCATATTTCCCTCATTGTATTAACCTTACATCAATTTGTCTTACAAGCTTAAATGCTGGAATGGAAGTTACTGTAGTGAAACCAAGGACAGGACTGTTATCAGCACCATATCCTGTAGGCAAGCATTATAAAGGAACTCTGCCTCAGTCTGCTCCAGGAAGTTTCTCTTTGCCTACACAGGCTCAGAGACTGTACAACTCTCTTGCCTACAAGATTCAGTTAAGAGCAGTCCATCACAAAATTAATGCAGAGGGCCTAGGCAACCCCATCACTTAGGAATGGTAAGAGCCCTACTCTAGTTCTCCTCTAGCCTTTATTGCACCTTACTTGAACTGTGGACTAGCCTGGGGTGTTTGTTTGCATATCAAACCATTGTGCAGTCATAGACCCAACAACACTCAGAGAAATATTTCAAAAATGATTAAGATCAACTAAATAAATCACATGAGCATGACTTAAAATGTAGATAGGTATTATAAAACAGAGATAAGAATAATCTTGCAAGTTCTTTGTGCTGATGAAAAAAACTTGGCCACTCATTTTGTGTTGAAGTTACTGGAATCAACTAGGAAATATTTTAAATACCAATCAGAAGTTCTACTACTGATTCCTTAACGTTTCCTAGGAAATTCCTTAACAAAATCACTCATTATGGGGTTAAGGAATCTCATATGCTCATCCCTGTAAAAATTGCATATGAAATGGATGTGCTCCAGAGTTTCAATTTCTATATTATTACAGGATCATAGTTGATTTCCATATGGCACAGCATAATAACACCCAACTAAGACTGAAGATGGAAGGCAGTTAAATCTCGCTCTTGAAAAGACTTGCAGGTATTTGGGGATCTTCAATTTTTCCAAATACCTAGCACTTTATAGAAATTCAAAATTCAGACCAAAGTCCAGATCACTGATTCAGGGAAACCTCAAATGTCTGCCTTTAGGAACTTCAGAACATGTTTTGCAGAGCTTTAAATAATGTCCAGAACTTGGATAGCAAGCAGAGACAAATGTTTTCTTCTCATGCAGTTTGTTTAACAACTTGACTAAAGGTTTTTCCTCAGCTTTAAATAATGTCCAGAACTTGGATAGCAAGCAGAGACAAATGTTTTCTTCTCATGCAGTTTGTTTAACAACTTGACTAAAGGTTTTTCCTCATCAGAGATGCAAATTTTGACTTCAGAACAAACAAATCACAGGAGTTAGTTTTTGTTCTACCTAATGAATGATCTGGGACTGTAGAAGAAGATTAGCAAATAAAATGTCAAGAAGTATTCACATAAAAAGGAGATGTTTTCCCTCCACTTATTATGAACTGATGAGTTGGCTCAGCCTTAATTGTCACTGTAGTAATCTCACTGGTAATTTCCAGTTTGCCTCAAAGGAATGAAACCAAACCTCTAAGGGCAGCACTATGCACTATAAGAAGCAAAGGGTAGCTGCCCCAAGTGGTTCTCCTGTGTGGAGTCTGCATTTTACCTTTCATTATGTATGACCTAGAACACTGATGGTGAACCTTTTAGAGACCAAGTGCCCAAACTGCAACCCAAAAACCACTTATTTATCGCAAAGTGGCAACACTGCAATAAAACCTGAAAACTGAGGTTTTAGTTTAGAAAATCAACTCACAGCCAGTCCAAGCAAATCTCTCTCTCCCTCTCTCTCTCCCTCTCCTTGGCAGCACAGTGACCGGCCATGTGAAAGCTCAGATGAGTTGCAGCTAATGAGTTGTGGTTTGTGACATCGTCGCCTGATGCCGCTCCTCCTTTCTGAGCAAGCATATGGCCCCTATGTGCACTGTTATCCAATGCTTGGCTGCTGGGGTGATGCTGGGGCAACTTGGCTCATGTGCCAACAGAGAGGGCTCTGCATGCCCACTGCGGCATGCATGCCATAGGTTCGCCACCACCGACTTAGACCATGTGTTTCTTCTTCCCCATTTATTACTGCCAACCAGATTTTGGGAACTGTGGATTTTGATTTTGTCAAAGAAACACCTGGCAAGTTGCATTATGTGCCATGAAACATAGTTGAATTCGGAATAGGGCTGCCAGGTTTGCTAGGTTGTTCATTTTTTAATAATACTTTGTTTAGTCTTCACATCCTTGGATCTTATTTATCTTCATGAGTATTTATGGCAGATTAAAATATGTCTGGCTTCGTGAATATAGTTGCTGGTTTAGAGCAAGTAGGTTATAAACTAACCACTTTTCCCTGTTATATATGTGGCTTAGTTATGTTCTTCTCAGTTGGTAGACATTGGAAAATGTGATGTTTGTCTTCTCCCCCCTTTATACACTTGTCTAAATATTTGAGGGGATTGGTTTGGCTAGTCTGGGAAAAGAGTGATATGCTGAATAGTGAATTTCTATTGCCCTGTGTGAATCCTGAACCCAGTTTTATTCTTCCCTAATAATACTAGAAATTCCTTGTCAGTCCTGGAATGAGAAGATGTCCTCTAATGGGTCAGTAACTGGTTAATGAACAGAGAGCAGAAAGTAGGAGTAGATGGTGAATTTGCCCAGTAGAGAGGTGCAAAGTTTGCTCAAGACAGCAAATTGGGGCAAAATCAAAGAAACAAGTCCAACTACAAACTTCTGGGAAGTGAATGAACTGTGACTCACCATAGAAGAGATCTTGTGACTGTGGTGGACAGTTCAGTTTAAATACCAACTCAAATACCAAAGTATTTCACAGCAGAGTGTAGCTGCTGTGAAAAAATCAAACTCTGTTGGGCAAAATTAAGAAAAGAATTTAAAGGAATGCTGCCAGTGCTATATTCCCCTATACAAATGAGTGCTGTGAGTATATAGTTGTATATAGCTCTGATATTACATCTAATTAAAGATACTGTACAATTGAAAAAGTGCAGAAAGGGGAAACTACAATGGACCACATTTGGAAGAAACATTCCTCATGTTGGTTACAGAATCTGGGATTGTTTAGCATGAGAAAAAGGCAAGGGAGAGGAGGCATGATAAAGGTGTACAAAGTGATGCATAGTATAGATAAAGTGTCTAGGGAAACATTTTTCTCCCTCTTTCAGAATACTAGAATCCAGATAAAAGGAAGTACTTCTTCACACAATGCATAGTTAAGTTGAGGAATTTACTTCCACAAAAGGTAGTTTATGTCCATCAATTTGCATGACTTTAAAAAGGGATTAGACAAATTCTTGGTGGAGAAGGCTATCAACAATTTCTAGTTCTGATTAATACATATTACCTACATTATCAGAAGCTGTGTGTCTCATGCTCACCAGTTGCTGGGGAACATGAGTAGGAGGATGCTCTTTCATTTATATCCTGCTTGTGGACTTGCCATAAGCAGTTGGTTGGCTACTGTGTGAACTAGAATGCCTTTTGGACTTTCGGCTATTCTTATTTTCTTATAAATGTTTTAATGTTAAACTATTTGGGAAACAATAGTCTTAAATATTATTTCGGTAGTTTCCTTAATCATCTTGTTTTCTCCTACATATTTCAGGTGATATTTGAATCCGTTTCTTTGAAAGGACACCCTGGATACATAGCTGTGGATGAAGTCAGAGTCCTTGCCCATCCATGCAGTAAGCACGCATTTTTTCTAACCTTTCTTCCTAACCATTGTGATGTGTTACATTAAGCATCAAGAAGAGTCATTCACCCAATTCAATCAGTTCTGAGATATCTTCTTTTATCCTTTCCAAATGCTTACAGAGTGGAAGCAATCAGCCCTGAATAAATACATAATTTCTCAAGTAGTGCAACAGGCAGAACTGCTATGAATGTGTAGCTAGTGCCAAAATTCTCATCCATTATTAAGGGAATTTAAAACCCTGATTGTTAGCTCTGATTCAGGTCACTGAAGTGGAAGAATTACAGAGTCTTGATGGTACCCTATAGAACTAACGTAAAGAGGAAATGTAGCAGTGGATGTGGGTTGTGCGTTTCTTCATGTGCACAACTAAGCAAATTAGTGCAACATTCACTCTGAAATAAATGCCCTGGAGTGTCTTTTCTTTAAAGAATAGAAATCTTCTCAGGGACTTTGTGAAAGCTTGTATGGAAATATGCATCACTTTCAAAGCATGTAATTCATATTGTGAAGTAAAGTAGTACGTCGAAGATTGTTTCCCTACATTTTTTATGCCGCTGTATTTTCATTCAGTTGTTTAATCAAGATTTCTTTCCAAGTATTCAGTTATGAATTTCTGTTAGTTAATTATTAGAGATATCCAATTGTCATACTAAGGGTACAAGCCAATGTATGTTTTATTTAGAAAGAAAAAAGGCACAGAAGCATTCCCCAGCCAGCATGCTAGGAGTTGTAGGCTCTTTTTCTATCTAAATAAGCATAGGATTGTACCCTAAGATAATGAACATGCCTGTACCCAGGGATAGTTCAAATATACACCATTAGGTTGTTTTGCAGAGCATATGGGACTTCCATATTTCAATGGAAAGCTGAATATTTTGCAGAAAGTATGCCCATTTAAATCATTTGATACCACTGATTTCAACAGAAGAAAGTTAGAGCCATGTTTCTGCAAAATTGCCAAGATTAATTGAATCCAGATTTTGCTTGAATCCATTGAATCAGTCATGCAGACCTGCAATTTTCATTCCCTTTCTGCATAATAAATGAGCACTGTATAAAGAAGCATCTTTGTTGAAGACTCCCATTCATGAAATCACAATGTCTAGAGGTGGATGGTGCACAACATACAGCAGCCTGCTCTAAATTGGTACTTTCCAGATATGTGGGGCTACAACTGCCATCAGCCTGGCCAAGAAAAACTCACCCCTAGCTGGAACTTCAGAGTTCGATGTAATATGCTGCAATGATCTCCTGGTGGAATGGCTCATACTGTGGCATTTTTCAGTTTGAAAAGGCTAAAATGGCAGCTTGTGATCTGAAAGTGTTTTACTTGAGAAAAAACTTTTAATTATTTTTTGGTGGTTAGTTTTATCTTAAATCTCCATGCTGCTTTTTGACCAGAGATCCTAAGGTGACACACACAGGACTTTTTCACCATTATATTCTCACAACAGTAGTTGTACTATATTAGCTTAGAGATATCAGCTGATCCAGAATCACTCAATAAGTTTCAAAGGTGAATTGAGATTTAAATCTGAATCTCCTTAGCCCTAGCTTTACACTCAGGATTGTATTTGGACTTACTCATAGTTAGAGGAGACCCAGTAAAATAAATGGGAGTTAAGTTGATCATGATTGAATTGTAGCATTTTGGTTCTGCTGGGTCAGCGCTAATTATGGCATGGTAAAAAAATAAAATCATAAATCTTATTTAGAGTAGACCCACTGAAATGAATAGGACACTTCCTATAATAATAAAGATGGAAATAATTGCTTTTATTTTTTTTTAATTTATTGCACTGCTATACTGCCCCATAGCCCACAAGCTCTCTGGGTGGTTTACAATTTATGTTAAAAGATATATAAATTGCCATGAGGCATGATCCTCCTTCAATGTAAACATGATGCTACAGAGTGTCTTCTCACAAGGATTTATTGTTACACATCCCCATTGTTACACATCTCTGAGTTCACCCAGAGTGAAGTGTTGAGTCCTCCCTAACACCTCTCAGTCTCCACCCTGTTGATACGCCTTTTTCCTGCACTGTCCCAGAGGTGAGACAATGTGATTCCTCATTTGCCAGCATTCCTGTTGTTGCTCCATCAGCTGGATATCCAGCCTATGTTGTCTTCTAGCAACCAACATCACCGCTCCAAGAGGAGAGCCTTCTATATCTGACAGACTGCTCAACTCCTGGTGCACACCCTGGCCAGATCCCAAGTTCTCCCCCTGTTCTCCTATTGGCAGATCCGGGCTCTCATGAAGTCCTGTTTCCAACCCCTGCTTTTGCTGTGCTGTCTCCCTGTTTCCATGGGCGGACTGGCTGTCACCTCCCCCACCTCCCCATTCTCATTCCTCAGGCATTTTCTGTAGTTTGTTGGCATTCCAGAACCCCTCCTCTTTGCTTTCTGAACTCAACCTCCCATTGAAGCTATAAACTGTTCATACACATTCTGGTACCTTTTCCCTGTGCACAACCATAACCTAAAATAACTGTATTTTAATAAAACAAAAAACAATAAAACCAATACAATGAGATCATCAACTTGCAGCAACTATAATAAGATTGATAAATGGCATAGCAGCAATAATAATAAAAAGTATTAAAACAATTCATCTAGTAAAATATCTGTGAAAAGAAGGGTTTTCACCTGAATAATCAACTTATCTGACCTTTTCATAAGAATATGCTTTGTGCAATCTTATTAAATCTTTTTTTTTTTAAATTCTAACCACAGGAATTTTACTTTTCAAACATTTGTAATATAGCTGGGAACTAGCAGCAACATTGAAGTATTCACTTTATTTATTTTATTTCATTTCCTTCTTTTAGTAGCAGCCTTCTTTAATTCCTGTTCAAAGGTTTAGAGGATTCAGAATAGTAAGAATTTTATCCATTAAATAGTTCCCTTTTGATGCACTAGAGTTGGAAGAAATGGAAGGTACTGACTGTCAAAACTGTTTGTGGTAAACAACACTGCAGACGTAGTATTGTTTTCTACCAAGGCCTCTCCATTTTCAGGTGACAGATCTATGACCCTGTCTTGGCCAGCAGCTAGTACATCAATAAATTGTGACATGGATAAACTACTGACCAGCTAAAAGGGATGGCATAGCACTATTTAACTGTGCTGACTGAATTTGGTATTTCAGAAATGTAGTAAAAGCCGCTTATCAAATTCTCACTGTTTTCTCACCTGTATATTTTCCCTTCCAGGGCAAAAGTAGCTTTGGGGAATGATCAGAAAGAGTACAGGGGAAAAGAGTAAGACCTCTGTCATCTAAGCTGTGGACATGATCTGATTCCATGCCACTAATTAATTTCTCATGTCATCCTTAGTTGCGTCTAAACTAGGACAATACAATATTCAGTCCAGGCTTGGAACTAATTATTACAGTGGCTGTTTGGGGGCAGAAAACTGTTGGAGAGAAGAGAAGGAATCCAATATGGTCAACATCTTGTCCTTGTCTGCCTCTTGTATGCAGATATAGCATAGAACCAAATATTTTCTCACAAGGAGGAGGAGAAGCTTGCATTGTCAAAGATGTGACTGAGTGGATGAGGAAAAAGAATTCATCCATATCACAGGAATGGGTATTCCATTCACTCCCTAGTCTGTCTACAAGAACACACATAGGTGAATGGGCAGCTTATTTCTCTTGGACCTTGTTTCTTGGGGCAATAGACATCATATCTCATTTTAGCCTGTCCCTGTATCCTTCTACTGAACCTAGCTTTCTAGAAAATGCTTTCCAAATTTCATACCCAGTATCAAATTTTGTGCTGCTTCAGAGGTGAAAGGCAATGTAGGTACCATTTAAACATAGATCCAATCATGTAGGGCCATTTTTCTAAGAGCAGATTCACAGCCCAGGGCTGTCTCTCAAGGATGCATGCATGTGGGTGGGTCTTTCCCATGGAATTGCCTGTGCTGATTTGTCAGTCAAATATAGCACCATCTACTAGGGATCCTGCCTTGGAAATATGGTTGCTAGGCGACTAAGCCTACTTTTAAAGGGTGCTTGCGCGCGCGCGCGCTCTCTCTCTCTCTCTCTCTCTCTCTCTCTCTGTGTGTGTGTGTGTTCATCCATTTATGCAAAGTGTTATACGGCACTCTTATATCAAAAGATTTTAGGAGTAGTTTACAAGAATTCTAAAATTTTCTTTTTTGGGTGTGTGGGGACAATTCCAAAGAATGCATTGCTTGATCCAGTTGTCCACATTAATCGGAATATAGCAGTTTAATTCAGGTTTTTCCCTTTTCTTCTGCAGTTTTTCTCCTTTTCTATTCCAATTTATTCTCCCTTTCCCTTAGGGAAAGATGTTCCTTGGAAGCTTTTCTGATGATAGTTGAAGGGAGGTAGAGGCTACAGCTGGGAGCCAAATGGTAGCACCAAACCAACCTGTTATTGCTTCCTATTTATTTAATTCATTTATTTAAAACATTTTTATACCGCCCCCATCGCAACAAAGCCTCGGGGCGGCTTACAACAAAAACAAAGATATACAAAATTATACAAAAACAAAGTTGTACAATAAAAATATTAAAACCCGGTGCATCTCGGCTTAAAAATTTTAAAATCCTACACAATAAATTAACACTTAAAATAAGTTTTAAATAAAAAGGTCTTAGCCTGGCACCGAAAAACAAATAACGACGGCGCCAGGCGGACCTCTCTGGGGAGCGCATTCCATAGGTGGGGCGCCACCAGAGAGAAGGCCCTCCTCCGGGTACTCACCCTCCTAATATTCACGGAGGGTTCCCGGAGAAGGGCATCTGTTGCTGATCTCAAGGGGCAGGAGGGCATATATGGACGCAAGCGTTCCTTCAGCTATCCAGGACCCAAGCCATTGAGGGCTTTATAGGTCATAACCAACACCTTGAATTGGGCCCGGACTTCAAACGGGAGCCAGTGGAGCTGACGGAGAACTGGGGTTATATGAGAACAATGCCCAGTCCCCGTCAGCAACCTGGCAGCTCTATTTTGCACCAATTGAAGTATCCGGACCGTCTTCAAGGGCAGCCCCATGTAGAGCGCGTTACAGAAGTCTAAGCAGGAAGTTATCAGTGCAAGTGTCACTGTCACCAAGCAATCGTTCTCCAGGAAGGGACGCAGCTGATGGATCAGCCAAAGCTGAAGGAAAGCACTCCTCACCACCGCTATCACCTGGGCTTCTAAAGACAGCTCAGGGTCGAGGAGCACTCCTAAGCTGCGAACCCTATCCCTCAGAGGGAGTGCAACCCCATTTAGGACAAAGCCCAAGTCCCCCATCCCGAGGCCTGAACCACCCACCAACAGGACCTCCGTCTTGTTTGGATTGAGCTTCAGTTTATTGGCCCCCACCCAGCCCATTACCTTGGCCAGGCACCGGTTCAGCACAGCCACCGCCTCACCTGGATTGGTGGAAAATGAGAGGTAGAGCTGGGTATCATCAGCGTACTGATGATTCCGCAGCCCACACCCCCAATGACCTCTCCCAGCGGTTTCATGTAGATGTTGAATAGCAAGGGGGACAAAATGGACCCCTGCGTAACTCCATGGCATAACTGCCATGGCGCAGAGCCATAGTCCCCCAACACCACCTTCTGAAATCGGCCGTTGAGATAGGAGCAGAACCACCACCACGCAATGCCTCCAACTCCCAATCCCACTAGCCTATTCAGAAGGATACCATGGTCGATGGTATCAAAAGCCACTGAGAGGTCCAGGAGACCTAACAAGGACGCACTCCCACTGTCTCTCTCCCTGCACAGGTCATCATACAGGGCAACCAAGGCAGATTCAGTGCTGTACCCGGGTCTGAAGCTGGACTGAAATGGGTCCAGGTAATCAGTTTCATCCAAGAATGCTTGGAGTTGCCCTGCCACCACCCGCTCTAGCACCTTGCCCAGGAACGGGATGTTGGCCACCGGTCTATAATTGGCGGCCACCTGTGCATCCAGGGATGTCTTCTTTAGGACTGGTTGGACTACCGCCTCTTTTAAAGAGGACGGTACCTGATTGTCTCTTAAAGAGGCGTTGACCACCTCCAGGATCCAGGTGCCAATCCCGTCCTTGGCTTTCTTAAGTAGCCAGGATGGGCATGGATCTAGTAAGCAGGTGGTAGGGCGTACTTGTCCAAGCACCTTGTCCACATCATCAGGCCGCAACAACTGAAATTCATCCATTAATTGTGGACTCGACGGCGTCGTTGGCATCTCCTCAGTAGAATCTGGTTCAATAGTAGAGTCAAGCTCGTGACGAATCTGAGTGATTTTCTCCCTGAAATGCCTGGCAAAGTCGTCACAGTGGGCCTTTGAGAGTGGTATGAGATCTTTCTTTGGGCCTGGATGTATCAGCCCTTGCACCACCCGAAAGAGCTCCGCTGGACGGCATTGTGAGGAGGCAATGGAAGCGGAGAAGAATTTCTTCTTCGCTGTCCTCACCGCCACAGCATAGGCCTGATAATGGGCTCTTAAGTGTGTTCGGTCAGATTCACCCCGTGATCTCTTACACCTATGCTCTAGACGTCTCCCAACCTGCTTCATTGCCTGTAATTCAGGTGTATACCAAGGAGATGAACGGGCTTTGCCAGGTGGGCGAGGACGCTTGGGAGCGATTGTGTCAATAGCCCTGGACATCTCCCCATTCCACAATTCAATCAGGGCATTGACAGGATCACCAGCCTCGTCAACCGGAAAATCCCCCAGAGCTTTCAGGAATCCATCAGGATCCATCCGGCTCCGGGGGCGGACCAATACAATCTGGTCCGCACCCTTACAGAGGGAAAGGCCGCTCTCGAGCTCAAACCTTATGAGGAAATAGTCTGACCATGACAAGGGCGTCAAACTTAAATTCCTTACCCTCTTCCTGCCCCGTCGAGAAAACCAGGTCCAGAGTGTGTCCACGTTCATGGGTCGGGCCACTGACGTGTTGAGACAGCCCCATGGCCGCCATGGAGGCCATGAAGTCCTGAGCCGCCCCGGTTAGATCCATCTCGGCATGGAGATTGAAGTCCCCCAGGACCAACATCCTGGGAGTCCTCAACACCAGGTCCGAGACGATCTCCGTCAGCTCAGGCAGGGAGTCTGTTGGGCAGAAGGGTGCACGGTACACCGACAGAATCCCCAATCTGTCTCGGTTGCCCAACACCAAGTGGAGGCACTCCAGCCCCGGCCTCAAGAGGACAGGAAGCCCCACAAGGGAAATAGAAGCTCGATAAACCAGAGCGACCCCCCTCCCCTCCAGGCGTGGTCGGTGCTGGACCAGGTACCCTGGCGGGCACAATTGTGGGAGGGTGACATCCCCCCGCTCACCCGCCCAGGTCTGTGTGATACAAGCCAGGTCTGCCCTCTCATCCATGATCAAATCCTGGATGAGTGTTGTCTTATTTTGGACCAACCTGGCATTAAGCAACAGCTCCGACAGACCCGGGGGGCAGCTGACAAGTCTACCTGGAATCTGCCGGTTGGGGGAATAACCAGAAAGAGGGACAGGTGTTAACGATCTGTCCCTCCTTCTTCTATGCAGACCCGTTAGACCCCCAACGCAATAACATCCATTGCCCGTCACCACCCCAATGGCGGCACCCACGCGCTCCCCAGGCAACATCATAGTAAAGCATGAGATGACCAATTAAACCAACCTAAAACCGACAATTAAAATTACTAAAAACATCCTACTTAAAACCACTGCTAGCCCACAAACGAAACCAAGGCCAACCACCAAAGCCCCGGGCAGCCTAGCCCCCTGCTCGGCCCCCGCTCAGCCCCCAAACGGCAGCATCAATGCCCTTAGGCCGTCGCCCTTCAGCCGCCGGCCCCTGGATGCCGCTGGCACTTTGTAGGCCGCTGGCACTTCGTAGGCCGCAGGGCCCCTCCCTGTGCCCCACCCCGCCCCAGTGCATCTCTCACACATGCTGGGGGAGGCGGGCCGGAGCAGGGGCCTGGGCCGGTGGTCCTGGCCTTGGTGCGGCAGTGGCAGCGGCAGCAGCAGGCAGTGGCGGTGGCACAGCAGCGGCAGGGTCCGGGCAGCGCGGGCTTCGGGCAGCGCGGATGGAGGTGGGGCCATCTGATGCGCTGGTTCGCTCCAATCCCTATTCATGCCCTCTTCTCTATATATGTTTATTGAATTTCCTTAAGTGTAATTCACCATTTCAATTTTGTTTATTGCTTGATAAAGTCAGCCAGGGGTTTACATATAAATCAGAATAACAATAAAGATTGAAAGTATTTACAGGAAAATCAGGCTACACCTAATAATAGGAAATAATAGGAAATTTGTTGTTAATTTAACAAATTGTCAGAAATTGATTTGTATAGCAAAATTATTAAATTAATTTAAATAGCTCAATAGCTGCTGTTATCATTTGTTGAGATTAAATGCTTCTCAGCTTTTTGACTAATATAAAATGTAGCTTACTTGAGAATTATTAGTGAACATTATATATAATAGGAAAATATTGATATCTTATCAGGGAACTAAACACTGGGGAATCTTCTGTGGCAGAACCTTATTCTTGTCAGCGCGCTTTAAATTATAACTTACTGATAAAAGTATAATTTTGATTTACCATATGGAGAACATGTTTTTAATTTAGGCCCCCTTAAAATTTTGAGTTAAATAAGAAGTGATAGGACAAAGACAAGATCATACTTAGCCATCTGAAACTTTAATCCAAAGTATTCTCATTTTGATGCAAGGACCATTGAATACAGTATGATTCACTTCTGTTTATACTTGCATGGAATTGATTGCATGAGGTTAAAAGGTTTAATTATTATTGACTCTCATTTGATAGAAGAGTTTAACCCTCATTCTAAACTATAGTTTCAGACAAATTGTTAGTAATATTATTTCATCCTTCCACAGAAGAAATTTGTCATTTCCTTTGAACAAACTATAACAGAAATTGATTCTAGGAAACATTGAATTCTTTTGTTGCAAAACTAAGCAGTTATTTATTGTATACTTGCTTGTGCCAAGATATGAAGACTTTTCTTTCAATGGTCTAAGCTAGAACAATAGAGCCATGCCACATTCAAAAGACAAAGCAAGTGTTCAGCACTGCTTTTACAACTCATTTGTTTTGTAGGAAACCTGTCCTGTTTGTCAAGAATGATGGACTCTCATAATATACCTCTGCGCTAATGCCAGTACTCTGATGCTCTGTGAAGATAATTTTTTTTTCATTTTTGTTAGGAAAAGCACCTCACTTCTTACGGCTTCAAAATGTGGAGGTTAATGTTGGACAGAATGCAACATTTCAGTGCATTGCTGGAGGAAAGTGGTCTCAGCATGACAAACTTTGGCTACAGGTAAAGTGTGCATGAACCCAATGTTACTCTTTCATTGGTTCAACTGCTCTGATAGATCTCTGTACCTTCAAGGAGGTCTCTGCCATTTTCCAAGACCTCAGATATTTGACTCAAATGAGTACTGCAACATATTGTGAAATATAATAATATATGGTAATCATTGAAATTAAAGAACTGAAATGAATTTATATGAGACTACCTAACTTCTCAGGAGTCATTTATTTAAGAATGAATGACCTTAACATTTGTATTCTAATAAAGAATTATGAAATGGATTAGAAGCATCTTTGATGACCATCCCATACTTAGGATTCCATCTCTCCTCTGTTTGCCTGACAGCAGTGGAATGGCAGGGATACGGCACTAATGGTCACCAGAGTAGTCAACCACAGACGTTTTTCTGCGACTGTCAGTGTAGCTGATACTTCACAGCGCAGCATCAGCAAATATCGGTGTGTCATCCGCTCAGATGGTGGATCAGGAGTTTCAAACTATGCAGAACTAATAGTGAAAGGTAAGTGGCAACCAATAAAAAAGTGTGCATTCTTTGTCATAATACAGAACAAAAGAGAAACACACAGAACTCCAGGATAAAGTCACCCTGAAAATCCTAAATCTGACAATTTTTATTCTTGATCTTGAGTCTTTAAAAATGAATGGGAAGTATCATCAGACCACCCAGAGAGCTTTTGCAATTGAGTAGTATCTTAGCATACAGACATGAAATCTGATTTAGAGTCATTGTCATTGAAACCTATGCTGATTTGTTTAAAAAACTTGGCATTGTTTTAAGGCACAAAGTGAAACTGCTACTTGCTATATTATGTAGTTATGTAAGCTTCCTAAAGAATGTTCCAAGTTAGATAGATCAGTTTTCACTGACTTATGCTACAACAGGTTATCATGGCTACCCCTCTGAAAGTTATGCACTATTGTTCTCTGGGGTTCTGCAGATGTGTTTAGTGAAACAGCAAATTAAGAACTAAAAATAATACAGGTATCCTTAAAGAAACTAGATTCTGCTTATGATATAGATGTGATGAGAATCTTCTATTGTAGAGTTGAGAGAGTACAGAAGTGACCTTTGCCTTCTCACCCCTTTGACCCTTGATAGGATGCCTATAATCCTGAGTCCCTAATGCCACATTGGATTGTGCTGCCTATATTGGAATATACATCCATTTGAAAGCAGCATCTGTATTTCAGTCATTCAAATATTGGAAGCATTTTAGGAAGTGTTTGTCTTCCCGATGTAGCAATGTTTATTTTCTAGAGGTCAAAAGGGTGCAGAGAATCTATTTACACTAATCATTTCTTAATGAATATCAAAGGCTGTTCCAGGATATTATCTGTGAAACAACGTTCCTTCTAAAAATAAAGATAATGAAAAAGGAACTACTGGACATTGCCAAAACATTTGTTCAAACAAAACCTCTCAGATGAACACCTTAATGTGGTGAGGGGTTTAAGAGTGTCAGTGAAACTAAGAGCGATGCACAGTAATTAAGACGGTAGACTCACTTATTTGGTCTCCTAGCAGGGTCACTCAAAGTGGAATGGTCAAAATGGATGCACCAGACTAAGATGCATCCACACTGTACAAAAGAAATAATGATCACATCACCAGAAAGAGATTGGATATATCTAATGGTCATGGTAGTGGAGAAACTCCTGAAAGGCAGCTACTGGGGGCAGCAACAGTAGTCAAATGCAACAGTGGCAGAGGATCTTTCACAGACAATGGCAGACAAGCTAACTCTTGCATCCCTCTGCTTAATACTGTGCAGAGGGATGCAATGATAAAGCACTTCTGAATATTCCTTAGTGTAAATTCTATGATGAAAGATTGAAAAATGAAACAAGATGGAGTGCCAGAGGATGAGACTTTCAGGTCGGAAGGCAGTCAACCAACTACTGGGGAAGAGCAAAGCATGAATAGCACTGTTGCTAATGAAGAACTAGATCAAAGCCACAAGGAAATCTAATGGATGAGATACACAGAGGCAAAAAGAAAGTTCAATGCTGCAGAACTCATACAATATCAATATAAAATGTGAGAAGTATGAGTCAAGGCAAATGGGTAACCATAAAGCAAGAAATGAAATAGTCAAATACTGCAGTACTGCGGGTAAACTAAGTGAACTGGATTCAGTCAGACAAACACAGTGTTTTATCCTAGGAATGGCAAACTCAAAAGGCATAGTTCCATTACTGAAGCACAATGTAACACAGGTGCTAAGGGGCTTTAATACCATGTGTGGCCGAATCATGTCAATCAATTCTTGGAAAACCTGGCAGACTAACCAAAATTCAAATCTATGCTCTAGAGCAGATGCTGAAGAAAAAGAAATTGGAAACTTTTATGCAAGTTGTAAAGCAAAAGCAAAAGGTGACAGAAAGCAGGTCAGAATCCCAAATGCAACTTTTCAGCAACTATCATGTAAAAATAACTTACAATGGCCAGTGAAAAGAAATAGAAGAGAACAGCAAAAGAGGAAAACATGGGACTTCCTCCATAAAATCAAAGGGAAATTCCAACCTAGAAATACTGAATAATCAAGAAGGGGACATATTATCTGGCCAGAATTAAGAGTGAGAGAATGAGAGAGGGAGGGAGGGTGGAAACCATATATGGAAGAACTGTGCAGAAGAGATAAAGGATGACAGACTCTTTAAAGTGGAATGCTATGAGGAAGAATTTGCAATATTGGAAAGTGAAGTGAAAACTGTTCAAAACTGAAATTTTGAAGGAATAAAGAACACAGACTAGATAAGAGTAACAATAGAATAATTCCACGGTACAGACATTCAGTCAGTCTAAATCCTAACAAGAACTTGCCAATAAATATGAAAAACAAAGCAATGTCCCAGATATTGGAAATACAATCTGCAAGAAAAGAGTGCAGCAATAATAGGACAATTGCACTAATTTCCTGTGCAAGCAAAGTGATGCTCAAGGTGCTGCAACAAATACTTTTACCCAGTATGGAACAAATATTTGTATGATGTTCAAGCTAGATTCCAAAAAAGAAGAGGCACTTGATACTGCAAATGTATGTTGGCAACAGCAACAAAGGAAAGAATTTCAGAAGATTGGCCTATGCTTTATAGACTACAACAAAGCTTTTGACTGTGTAGATCATGAGAAGCTATGGATGCTCCTGAAAGAAATGGGTGTGCTTCAGTACTTTATTGTCCTGCATTGTCTGTATTATGGAGAAAAAGCCTGTGTTAAGACAGAAAACTGAGAAACAAAATAGTTTCCTAAAGGCAAAGACATTAGACAGTGGTATATTTTATTTCCCTATATGTTCAATCTGTACATATTATAAGGAGAGTTGTATCAGGATCAGAGGTAGAAGGAATGAAAATTCGTGGAAGATACATCAGTAACTTAAGGATATATTACTGGTAGAAAGCACCGATGAATCAAAATGATTCCTGGTTAAAAAGAAAGAAGAAAGTGCAAAGGAAAGACTGAAACTGAACATTAAGGAAACAAAGGTCATGACTACAGGAGACTTGGTCAACTTTAATATCAACAATGAAGAACTTGAAACTGAAAAAAATCTGTGTACATTGGCTTAGTCATCAATTCAAATGGAGACAGCCAAGAAAACTGAGGTCTGGAAGGGCAGCAATGAAAGAACTAAAAAGGATCATCAGGTGTAAAATGGTTTTGCTGAAGATTTTCCAAAATGATTATATGCTTTATTACCATGTATGGAGGCTGGACAGTGAAGAAAATCAATGCATTTGAAAACTGGAGACCTTGGCTGAAGGAGATGTTTGTGAATACTCTGCCTCAGTAGAAAATTAAAGAGCTGGGTCATGGATCAAACCAAACCAGAACTTCCCCTAGAAGCACAAATGACAAAATTGAAGCTGTCATACTTTGAGTACATCACAAGAACCTACGACTCATTGGAAAAGACAATCATGTTAGGGAATGTCAAAGGCAGGGAAAGAAGAGGAAGACCAACTATGAGATGGATTGATTCCATAAAGGAAGCCACAGTGTCAAGTTTATAAGAACTGGGCAGGACTGTAAATGATAGGACACTTTGAAGAGGATTCCTTCACTGAGTCGCCATCAGTCAGAGACAACTTGATGGCATGTACCAATAACAATAACTGTACTGTACTACCAGCAGTTGGTTGAACTAGACAGTCTCTTACTGAAGAGACCTTGTGGTGACCAGGGTTGGTATCTGTGACACATAAATACCAAAGACGTGATGAGGCATTTCGTAGAACTGTCCATAGCAGTTTTTCAAATTCAGAAATGTGCTCACAGGTCCTACTCTTGAGGCCTCAGCAGGGTTGTTGCAGGAATGCAACACAAGTACCTCTATTCTCATGGATGCCAATGCCATCTTAGAATACCTTGTTCTCTTTGACCATAGTACAATCTTCACAGTAGCAGGGAGAGTTAATTTTCCCCACAACAGTACAGTGGGTCACTCTGTACAATTAGCAGACAATTGCTAAGCTACACTGGCTTGTTAACTGCACTACAGTTCTGGTAATGGCTTGGACAGGATCTGTGGTTTTTCTTGTCATGTAAATTAAGTCATGGATTGCTTTGTGTAGCTTGATAGCTATGGCAGCATGCCACCCTGACTGCATTGTCAAGGCGCAACAAGTTGAACTGGTGAAGGAAATCACAGGAGAAAGCCATTCTTGCACTTGACTGGCATGTTCAGCTCAGTTAGTAAACCCTAGTGTCTTGTTAACTGTCTGACACACCTGTGGACCTCCTCATTGATTTCTGTTGTAGTTCAAGACACTTTGGGGTGGCTTAACTTTGAGGGGGCAATCAAGACTTCGGCTTTACAAAAGATTTGCTCCTAGCAATGATAAATCCTAGAATTAATTTGCTGATGTGGCTCAGGACAACTGCTTGTACTTTTGGATTTTCCTTGTGGGCATGGCTCCATGGCCTGCTGCGATGAGTATCTGCAGGTCAGTAAATAACATTATCTCACTGGGTGCAGTGAGTCTGTAGCAAGGTCAGGCAGAGTCTCACTCTTTATTGTTCCAAAGCTCAAGAAAATCCTCACAGTGCACCTGGTCCAGTGAAGACAATCATTTTCCCCTGGATAAAACAGTGTCTGAAAGCTTTGTTTTAGGATTAGGGTGATTGCTAACCATGCAGTAGTGGATTGGCAGGAGTGGACTGGCAGAGATAAAGCTCTAATGGTCACCAGACTAGTCGACCATGCAGTAGGCACTTAAAAATATTTCATACTGTAGCTTTTTCTGTAAATACAGGCATTCACCTTTAGCCTTGTTCCATGCAGTATTTAATCTTGGCTGAACAAGCATTGGCAATGGCTTTAGCTATTATACAGTAAGCTTTAAAATGGACACTGCATGTTCAGAGTTTCATGAATGTAAGTAAAACAGGAATGGAGAAATCTGCTGATTTTGGTTTCTTATTTCCCCATTTACAGTTCCCTCTCTCCTCCCCTTCCCCCCCCCCCCTTTCAAAACATAGAAACAGAGCGAGTC